ACATTAACTGGGAGGGGATAGGGTTTGATAGACATAAGGACAATACAACACACACAGAAACACCAATACATGATGCAAACATAGCACTGGCAAACTTAATGTGTCTATGACGAAATGTGAACAAAGTCAACATGACAACCTGGCCAAGAAAACCAAAACTGGTGTCGCAGTGTAGAAAAAAAATACTACAACCATGAGCAAGTCTGACACCTAACATGATGGAAACATAGCACAGCAAAACTAACAACGTAGAGCAACTCTGAAACCTAACAACTAAGAACATGAAAGTAATGTACAGATAAAATACAGATAATATACAAAAACATGAAAGTACAAAACTAATCTTCCGTACTACACAAAGTCGCTAACTCCTGCCGTGAAAACCTGACAACGTATAGCAAGTCTGAAACCTAACAACTAAGAACATGACAGTAATGTACAAATGAACTAAAGATAGTGTACAAAAAACATGAAAGGACAAAACTGATCTGCCGTGCTACACAAGTCGCTAACCCCTGCTACCGCGCCTAGTATGAGTGCTATGACGTGCTGCACTCCCTCTCCCTGCCAATGCTCCTCTCCTCCCACCCCGACCCCTACCGTGTGGTGCTCCCTCTCTCCCTACGGGTGCAAGGTGTGAGCCTGCCGCGGACGCTACTCTCTGATGCCTCTCTCTCCGCATAGCTGTGTCAATGGGCTCAGTCTCTGTGTCCGCCTCCTCAGCCTGTGCCTCCGTCTCCGACCTCCTCTCACGCTCGCGAATGAGGTCCGCCAACCGCTGCTGGTCAGCAACAATCTCCGCATCAAGATCCCTGATCGAGCCATGACGTCTCGAACCCTGTGGCATATGCAAGTCCTCCTCCCCCGATGTGTACGGCAGTCCCTGCTGTCTGTCGTCAATGGCTGATCGAGCCGGATAAACCTCCAACCTCTTTGTCCTCCTCGTCTCGACTCTATCCAATCTGAGTATACGTCCTGCTGTGTGGACACTCGGTCGTCCAGCCTCACTCGCACCCGTTGCAGGATCTCCCTCCCCGGATGGTCCTCGTGCGAACAGCCCCCATCCTCTATCGTAGTCCCTCCTCAGACTGTCCGTCACTCGCCGACAAGACGACCACCCCCCTAAAACGCCACCTCGATGACTCGAAGAAGATCCCCGCCCGCTGCCTCGACCTCCAATTGGTGGAAGACCTGCAGCCGGTGTTGTGGTCAGCTGCGATGCTCGAGATACAGGGCGCGTCAGTGGCTGTGCATGGCTGCTGCCAGGCCCGCCTGAAAACACTGCCGCCTGGCTCTCCAAAGACTCCCGCTCGCGGATGTCGGACTGCGATGATCCGGTCCACCTAGGGCTCACTGGAGCCCATGGGGGAGGCGAGGGCTGACCACCAGTGAGCGGGAAAGGGTCCTCCGTCCCCAACCTCTCTAGCTGGTCCGGATGGAATGGGGTCGGAGTGCACTCCCCCGGTTCCCCGCCATCCCACCGAGGCATTTCCCCGAACTGCCCACCTGCAGAGAAAGAGCACGGCCCGCCCGAGTCAATATGCCATCCTCTCTCGACATCTCGCACCGACGGGGGCCTAACAATAATCGCGAGGGACATGTCGATGGCTGCTACCTCCTCCTCAACATGCCCTCCGGTCACGCCATCTCGCACGGACGGGGCACTGTGTCCTGCATCGACCGCTGCTCCCTCCTCGTCATCCTGAGTCGCGCCATCAACGAAAGGCACACTGCCCTCCAAAGGGACACTGCCCTCCAAAGGGACACTGCCCTCCAAAGGCACACTGCCCTCCAAAGGGACACTGCCCTCGTCCACCAACTCCTCCTCTGGCAAAGCCAAATCGCCCTCGTCCAACTCCTCCTGAGGCAAACGAACACTCCCCTCGTCCACCAACTCCTCCTCAGGCAAAGGCACACTGCCCTCGTCCACCATCCCCTCCTCCCCTCCATGAGTCCCGCCATCTGTGCCAGCCGCGCATATGCCAATCACGACGTCGTCTACGATAGCCTCGGCTGCCGCACTCCTCGCCGTCGTCGGAGCTATCAGCTCCTATGTCTGCCACCACTGTCTCGACACCCCCGACAGGACCACCCTCGCATGGCACATCTGCCTGCCCCCCGCCTCCAGCGTCCAATCCGCATGTGTCAGCACCACCACCCACAACATCAGAGAGCCCAGAGGGGGGCTGCATCGTGTCAGAAGTCGGCATACGTCCGACGCTCGATGGTGGACCCGCTCCTATCGTCTCTAACTCCCTCTTCCTCCGCTGCTCGGCCTCATACGCCTCTCTGCCCTCCCATCTGGGCATGGACTGCAACCGTGCCTCCTCCTCGCGATCCAGGCGAGCGTCCCTCTCCTCAATAGTCTCCTCCCTCTCCCTCACATCCGTCCTATACTCCGCTCTGTCATGGACTCTGCATCGTAAGACAGGTGAGCCCCCATGCGAACCCGCGATATCGAAATCGCTGGTGCGCAGAGAGGATGTCGCAGCCTGAGCGGGGCCGCTGTGTGACGGTGTCCCCTCCGCGACCGGTATGTCCTGAGGCTGCTGGGACGCCTGAACGCTACGCTTTGCCAACCTGTGTGACCGACGAAGCTGCTCTGAAAGCTCCCTGGAGTGGTGGCTCGGATCGAACCGAGGGTCCCGCAGGCGGTCAGCGTGAGGTGCCACGCCCTCGTCCTCGTCACTCGAGTTCACCCCTAGAACTCTCCTCGCGCGGGGGTGAACGTCGCGAGCAACGGCGCCGCGACCTCGACCCGCTGGAGGGTGTCGAGTGGCGCTACCCTGTGCCCCGCCGGCGACATCGTCCATGATGACGGACGTCCGCGGTGCATGCTTGTCCGACCCGCCCCCGTACGTGAAGTACACCTGCTCCGCCGTCCTGTCTGTGCCCCCCGCCACATCCTCTGCGTCCGTCCAATCATCCTCTCCGTCCTCAGCGGCTGCCGCAGAACCCTCTCCTGCTCCCCGGGATGGGGGAGGAGGCACATGGTCGAAAGGGAGCAGAGTGGCCGCCTGATCCCCGAATACGGCAAAAACCTCTCGAGGATGGCTTGTGCCGTCCTTGCGAAAAACATCGATTTGCCTCGTGATCTCCCGGTCGGTGAATGTACCAACAGATCTGGCCCCCCACACGTCAGGCTTGGGGTCACCGTCCTCGTCCTCGTCCGGCAGCCGTCTCTCGGTGTCGACACCCTCCATGACCCACGAAAGCACATAGCCGCCACCCTGCTGCCTGCATGAAGCCAGTTTGAGATTTGTCGTGATCTCAACCAGCTGTGCCAGCTTGGCAAAGCCAAGGTTGCTCCGCTTTGCCGTCTGAATGCGCTCGTGGGCCGCCCAATTCCTCTCCGCGGGAGAGGCTGACGTCCACATGTGCATCACACGGATAGCGATAGCACGTAACTCAGGGTGGGCAGTGCCGTGGGCAAACCACCACGCCGCGCAACGGTGCGTCTCCTGATCCCCATGGCAACCCTTCGCCTCGGCATCCGACACCAGCCTGTCACCCCAGTCTCCACTGCGCTCATGGAATCGGCGCATCTGGTCACGAACAACGAGGTAATCCCTGCTGGTGGGATCACCTCCAGTCTGCGCAAGGAGAAAACGATCACACTCCTGCACAACCTCCGCATCCTCCGTCGTGGTGTGGAGGGATGCGTAGTACCTCAAAGACCGACGACGGGGGTTTAGGAAATGAGCGGCAGCGTGCCCGGGCTCCAACAAGTGCATGAGCCGCATCCTGACCTCTCGTACGCACGGGGTCAGAAGATCGGCCGACACAACGTCCAGCTTCGTCAGAAGCTGAACGAGATGACGACTCCACTCGTAGACGATGGACATCATCATCCCTCCTTTGTCCATCCGCCTCAGCAGCTGATGGATGGGCTCCATCACAAGAATCAAGAACTCGACATAGCGCCAGAACTCGCCATCTCGAATCTGGAGACGCACCCATCTCGCCTGGGGCAGCAGTCTCCGCTCCCACGGGATACTCGCCCACGCGTCGTCATGCAACATCGCCTCCAGCGAGTCGTGTCTCCCGAGGAGACAAGTTAACATCATGAAAACTGATGCGAAGCGAGTCTCAACTGGCTGCACAAGCGAAACGCGCGGGCTCTTCTTCTTGAAAAGGGCGAGAGCTGCGCCATGCGATTTCATAAAGCGCACCATCGCTCGTCCACGGATAATGGTGTCAACTGCCCACCCCACTCGTGTCCCAATGTCTGACAACATCAAGTTGCAGACATGGGTCGAGCAGGGGAGCCAGGTGATGCGCCGGACCACTGGATCGGGGTCTGCGGCGAGCAAACGGGAGGCCGCTGTGTAGTTATTAGCGGAGTCTGTACAGAAAGCTATGACGTCCTTCGCAGGGAAGGACTCAATGATGGCCTTCCACCTGCGGAAGACAATGGCGCCCGTCTTCTGTATAGAACCATCGCGGCAAATGGTGGCGTAGAGTAGGGCGCCATTGGCACCTGCAGCAAGGAAGTTCACGATGGGTCGAGAATCACGCGATTTCCGACCATCTGACAAGATGGTGGCGCCGCTGTGACTGAACGACTCTTGGACCTCCCGTAATAAAGACACCACCTTCGCCCTCTGCTCGGGCACTCCATCTCCACCGATTTCCTTAAAGGAAGGAAATCGCATCCGCACTCCTCTAGGCAACTCATCCGCCGCCTTCCGGACCTCCCTCCACGATTGCCTCCTGAACGCGTTGAACGGAATGCCAGAGTCATAGATCCACTGCAGAAACTTGTCGTTGAAGACCGATTGCTTGTCCGCAGTGTAGACCTCGTCGATCTTGGACTGGCGGACCCTCTTCCCCAGTCGAGTCGCTGCCCGGTCGGTCTCCCCCTCACCCTCTTCCCCTTTCGCATATCAGGGTCTTCCCCACGCGACGTCATCACGACCTCCTCCCCTGGCAACTCCACCCCCTCCTGCTCCTCCATCTCGTCAAGCACGTCCTGCACGTCGTCCCTGCTTGCAGTGCAAGGATCCGCTCCTGTACGACCTCCAACAACTGCTCGGGAGTCTCTGATGCCATGCTCCTCCATGTATGCGCGGATGGATGCGTGATGTCGGTCATCGAATCTGTAGTCCGTGCCATTCCAAATGTCAACGAGCACGTCGAACTGCGCAACACGGCACTTCTTCAACTGGCAGAAGTGCCTCGCGGCCTTCGATTGTTCCCCTGCCACAGGTGCTTGCACAAGTTGCATCGCAACTTGCGGTCACCGTGAAACTTGTCCCACGTGCCTACCGGTTGCCCCCGCGTAACGTATTTCCAAACGCATGAGGCCCTCCTCAGCTTGGCCATCTCAAAATAGGAAACAGGGATAAAATTTGACCCCCCTGAACCACCGCCCCCCCCAGAACCACCCCCCCTACGACTCATTGCGAACGAATGACTCGTCCGCACTAGCCTATGCGCTGATGTCGCTCTGTGATGTCGCCCCTCGAGCCGTTGAAGTCCCTTGATGTTGTACTCCTCGCGTCCTAGGCCCCCTCCCCGCCCCGGGTCCACCGGGCGCCGACGCGGCCGAGAACCGAGGCCCACTCCAGTCCCGTTGCGACCTCGCGGTTGTGAACTTGCCCTCCGCGGGCGTGACTTTGCCCGCTGCGGTTGGCGAGGCGACCGCAGCGGTCGGGACTGCGCCCGCGCTGGGCGAGAAGTGGTTTGGTTGCTGTTCGAAGGGGTTGGAGATCGGCGGCAAGATCCTGCGGAAAAAAAAAAAAAAAAAAAAAAAAAAATCAGTCAGGCAGTTG